AGGGGGCGCCGCCCGTGGGGAGCCAGCCAAGCTCGGCGGCCAGACCTTCTGAGCTCCCCGGGCGAATCCGCCTCTCGGCTTTCAAAGATGGCATTTCCTGGGCCTGGCATGAACTCCAGCGCCAGTAAACCCTCCCCGTTCCGCAGGCGACAGGGGATGGTTTACCAGGTACCTGCGGGGAGACAGCTGCAGTGGGCGAGTGCATGTGAGCGCGCAGCCCCCCGCCCCCCCCCCCCCGGCCAGACCTTCTGAGCTCCCCGGGCGAATCCGCCTCTCGGCTTTCAAAGATGGCATTTCCTGGGCCTGGCATGAACTCCAGCGCCAGTAAACCCTCCCCGTTCCGCAGGCGACAGGGGATGGTTTACCAGGTACCTGCGGGGAGACAGCTGCAGTGGGCGAGTGCATGTGAGCGCGCAGCCCCCCGCCCCCCCCCCCCCCGGAAATTCCCATTTGCAGCAACCTAAACTTACTGAGAAGTTGCGCTTGCCTTAAAAATTCATGGGAAGTTGAGACAACTTGACACCTGGGCTGTCCGAGGCGGTGCAAAGAGCTTGTGACTTGGACACTGGAGACCTCCGGTCAAGTTGGTCTCCCCCTTGGCCAGCTGGTGACCTTGAGCGAGCTGTCTAACCTCTCTGATCTTCAGTTTCCTCCCCTGCAGACAGCCGGTAATAATGCCCACCTCACTGGGTTGGTGGGTAGATTAAGTGGGATAAATTATGTGGAGGTGTTTGGCACTGTGCCCAGCGAAAAGCAAGTGAGCAGTTGGCGTGATGCGAATTTAATTCGTTTAGAGACCCTCGCGGCTCCCATTTCACCAGGAAATTAGAATCAGGGAAGCATCTTCAGGGCCTGGTGGCAGAGTGACAGACCCCATCTCTGTGCCCTGGAGAACTTCTGCTGAAGTCAAGGGCTTTGGAAAAGCAATTTAGGGAATTGTAATCGGAGAGCATCTTCTTTAAAAGCAGTTTTATACATTCAGGAACTCCAGAAGTTGGCAGTTCGGCTGTACTTACGAAAGAGCTGTTTTGCGAGAGGATCCATTCTGCAAATGCTTAAGCAGATGATGCTTGAAAGTAAAGCCAGGTTAGGAAGATTTCTGTTCTAAAAAGCTTCTAAACTCAGCTTTTGTGATTATTTAGATCAGGGTTTCTTAACCTCATGGCTGGGGTTCGTTAATTCTTTGTTGTGAGGCCTGTTCTATGAATTGTAGGTTATTGAGCCCACATCTCTCGTCTCTACTCACTAGATTTCAGTAGTAATCCCTCTCCCTCTGTTGTGCCAACCAGAAATGCCACCAGACATGGCCAGATGTCCCCTGGGGGGCCAAATATCCTGTCTCACTTTTTAGAACCACTCCTGCTTTCTGTCACTAGCCTGTTGAAGTTGTCAGAGCATTTCATCTTATGTTTTTCCTATCATAACTAATCTTTGTGTAGGCTTATAGAACTGCATAGAGTGTATCCACAATCTCAACTCATTTAATTTTTACAACTCCCCCAGGAGGCTGGTGTTATTCCCATTTTACAGGTGAGAAAATTGAGGCTTTGAGCAGCAGATTACACATTATGTGGTGTAGTTGGGATATAACTCAGGTTTCCTGATACCATGGGCAGGTCTTTTTGTTCTGTATCAAGATGCCCTTTATTATACGGAGACTTTCAAATAGATAACTTTGCTGATGATTGCATCAAGATGTGAAGTAGATTGGAAGCTGGAGACCTTTCTGAGATTGACTAGTTGAACATTAACAGTAGGCTATTATCTGACAGAGAGTAGGTCGTTCTAGTTAAATATTCTAGTTTATAGCGAGCTCCCATAAACCCCACGTACAGTTAATGGAATACCAATTTGCAGAGAATTAGAGTAGAATAAAACGTGCCTCGTACTCTGTATTGATCCTGAGTTGTCTCTGGTGATTTGCCGTCTCTTAAAATGGACTCCTGTATGCAAATTAGACATTAGCTGGGGAATGTAAAAGGTCAAGTTACTGAAGTCATATCTGAGTGGCGGAGGCATTCTGTTCCGCCAGCATTTATTAGTCAAGCTGCTTCTGTATGGCAGATGCCGTGCTGGGGGTGGGAGATGCAGAGTTGGCCAGTAGACCCCAGTGAATCCAGGGTGACAAGGTGGGGACTTCCTTTTCAAGGAGAGGCCAGGTCAGATACATAGCAGGCCCACAGGAACAGCTTGGGGCAGGAGAAAGAGCCTAAGTTGACACAGAGTCAAATGCAGGGCCCCACTCTGCTTCACCACTCCTGTCTCTGAGCCCTCCTTTCTGCATTTTATCACAGAGAGGTGTCCTGGTAGCCTTTCACTTTCTCACTCAAGTGTCAGGACCCTGGTTAGAGACACATCTTATTCCTCACAGGAGTTGGGGTTCCCAGCTGGTAATTGGTCTCAGCAGATTGATTGTGGACTGTGAACGGAGAGATTTCATATACATTGTTTAATTTCAGTGTCCTCCCTGCCCCCCTTTTGCAGATAAGGAACCTGTGCTAGCAAAGGTAGTGTGCGTCTAGGAGCAAGAGGGACGAATTTTGACCTTTTGAACCTTGGTTTCAGGCCCATGAAGGATTCCGTTTTCTAAGATGAACAACCCACCAGAGGGGCTCAGCTTTGGGGATTGGAGGGAACAGGAAGACATGGCACCCTACCTCCCCACCCCAGCCCCAGGGTTTGTGGCACGTTGGGAGGGAACCAGCAATTTGTGGAGAGTGCCTATTGACCATAATCCCAGTGCTCACCTTCCTTCCACCAGACAGTGGTTCCTGGACAGCAGGGCCAGTCCCTCTTCACCTCTTCCCAGGGCCTGTTGCAGGGGCTAGAATGCCCAAGGAACTCCGTGCTTGCCATGGCATTGACGGGCTGGTGGGGGCTGGGCAGCCTGCTGGTGTTCTTCCCAAGCCTCAGCTCTTCGTACCAACTCTATTAGAGACAGGACAGGACAGGACCTCGTCACTGTCCACCCTGCTCTGGTTTGGGTCCCGGCATCCGCAGCCTCCGTTCTCACAGGTGTCTCCTTTCATCTGCCTCAGGGGGACTAAAGGGAGTGCTTGGTAGGCGCCTGGCTGAAATCTGACCTGGTGATGGGTTCCCAACCTAGAGACTTGCATCACACAGCTTCCAGTTGTGCCTCCAGTGAAGACCAGCTGTGAGCACAGATTTAACAGCAAATTCAGACATTTATTGAGTCTACTAGAGGCCCGATGCATGAAATTCGTGTAAGGGGCTCGGCCCCTGCCACGGTGGTGGCTAGCTACCTCAGACCCTGCCACCGCAACGGCTGCCTCGCCCCTTGAAGCCCCGGCTTCGTCTGGAAGGTCATCCGGAAGGACATCCGGAAGGACATCCAGTCTAATTAGCATATTACCCTTTTATTATTATTGATAGTATATGTCAGGCAATAGGGTTACAGAGATGAAATTTGAACCCCTGTTTTGGAAGGACTCATGGTGGAGTTGGGAAGACTGACCTGTGTGTTATCTGTCTGTCTGTCTGTCTATCTATCTATCTGATAACTATTTACAAAAGGGTAAATCAAATGCAAAGAGACCAATGGAGGCGGCCACTCATTCTGATGGGTATCAGGAAACATCATAGGGAGTCGCTGGCATTTGAATTCAGCCTTGAAGGTAGAAAACGATGGTACTCAGGGGGCAGACAGAACAGCAGATGTAAAGACTCAGAGGCATGAAGAGACCTTGTGTGTCTCAGGAGTGGTGACTCTTCCCCTTCTGAGAGTACTCCTGCAGTTAGGGTACTCTCCCATCCCTGTACGGGGCCTGGCTTCACTCCACCCAGGGCTCAGTGCCCATTCCCCTTCTTTTCCTTGGAGAGGAGCGGTGCCTCTGGCTTGACTTCAAGGTATGAGCACCTTCTGCCTGGGATGCCTCTGGTTTTAGTTCAATACTGATAGAGTGTTTACTGGCTGCCAGGCACTGCTCCTGAGGCTTTCCAAATATTAACTCATTCATTTAATCCTTGTAGCAACTCTCCGACCGGGCTGCCTCCGTGAGTAGCAGCCGGTTGGTAGGTAGGTCAGGGCAGAGCTCCTCTCCCCAGCCTGTGCCCCTCTGTGGGTGCTGCTCCGATTGTGGTACACCTTCTCCTGGCTCACTTCATTGTTGTGCCAGAAAACAGCCGAGTCTGAGAGTTGAGAGCGAGTGCTGACGGCCGCAGATTTTTATCCCTGACCCCGTGTCCTTCAGGGGGCCAGCAGGGCTCCCTGACTGCATTTTCTGAACTAAAGATTGGGAACTGTAGTCTGAAAAAGAATGTTTGTGCCGCTTTTTTGTGAAAGAGGAGGGAGGCCTGGGAGGTGTTGTTTGGATACTGAGAGAGTGGAATTTTTGAGACATTTTGATGGTTTATGTGGAAAGTTAGGACAGAGGATTTGAAATTGGAATAGCCCTGGAAAATTCAGGTCCTATGATTTACTGTCAGGATACACAAGCTTTTAGTAAATATTTAAGCACTGTGTAGCTTGGAGTGAATTTTTTGTACTGAGCCCATTGGAGCCTCAGAAGGGGGTAAACAGTATCTTCTAGTCCCAGAATCTTGCAACTTCCCACAAGCCCCAGTTTACAGATGGGGTGAGAAAGCTGAGGCTCAGAGAGAGGATGTCACTACCCAAAGGGCACATTGCTGGTAAGTAGGACATCCAGATTTGAACCCAAGTCTGTCCCTAGACAAGTCCTTTAACTGTGAAATGAGGATAATAGAACCTATGTCCTTTAAATGGACCATTTGAAAGGAGCTAATGACTGAAAACCTACTGAGGCAGAACTTGGCACAGAAAAGGGTCCCCTCCCTTGTGGTCAGGCCCCTGACTCTTCGGATAAGCACTTTGGTGCTGAGAATGGCTGTGGGCGAGTCATGGCCCCTCCCAGGGCAGGGCTACCGGTCCTAGCTCTTAGCACAGAAGGGATGTTCCAAGGGGCAGGATCCAGGGCCAGAAAGGGGCGGTGGCCAGCTAGATGCTGTGTTGATGAAAGGCACTGGTCTGGCTTTGAGAGCAGGATGTGAAGACCTGGCCCCTGTACCCCGCTTCCCTCAGGTGAGTCAGCCTCAGTGTGGACCTGAGGATTTTAGTGAGAGAGGCAGAAACCAGCTCTGGCCCTAATCACGGGTGGGCTGGGAGAGGGGAGAATGACAGCTTGGACCCAGGCCTTGCCTGCTGTCCCCCCCCCCTTCCCTCCCCTGACCTGGTGATCAAATTTATACATGGTTGTTGGAGAAAATTAAAAATTAAATGTCAGGGAGCAGAAGGAAAATCGGAGGCTGTGAGAGCCGGGAGCCTTCTCCTCTCCTCAGTTCACTCATGCTTTGGGGCTTTGCTCCCTGATTACC